TGTAACAATGAAATTGGGGGTCACCACAACATGAGGAACTGTATTAAAGGGTCGCGGCATTAGGAAGGTTGAGAACCACTGGTTTAGATAATAAGTAGGAAAATCAGAAGCCGTTCCACAGGACCAAGAGCTGGTCTTGCACTCATTGCAAGGCCAAGTTTTTTCCCGTTGAAGAGAAACATGTCACACTCCTCCTTCATAAAAAACAATTGGTGACCATGATGGACCTAAATATTAATAAGAGCATATGTAACCACATCTCTAAAAATGGTATAAAATAAAGTTCCAAATCATACAAATGACCAATGTTCCACTCTCCTTACTAATATCACTGACTGGAGCTTCTTACAAATTACCTTTAGCTCCACTGCATTATTTTTCCTTTTAGAAAGCCATCATGATCACCAGTGACAGCATAAAGTTTACCTCCTCACAGCCTCCCATACAGAAACAGGTCCTGCTTCCTTGAATAGCAATCAAATCACCTAACAGAAGCCAAATCTTATAACAAGCCCCTTCCAGCATCCTGGTTCTGTTATTATACCTCACAGTCCTTTGTGGTTTGTGACCCTTCTTATTAAATCACTTATTAAATGAATTGAGACATGAACAGACTGACAAATCTCAGACAGAAGGGGAGGAAGAGGCGGAAAGAAATTAATGGCACAGAAGGCCATCAGGGTGGAAAAGCCCAAGGTGCCTAGTGACAATCAATTGCAGGGTGGGATCTGGCCCCAGGGTGACTTTTCCTCCTCTAGCATATGGCTGGTCCTGAGGTTTGGATCCTGACCTTTCCTCCCTAGAGATAACATCTAGGCCTCAAGTTGTATTTCTTTTTCTTTTTTTATATTTTATTGATTTTTTACAGAAAGGAAGGGAAAGGGATAGAGAGTTAGAAACATCGATCAGCTGCTTCCTGCACACCCCACACTGGGGACGAGCCCGCAACCAAGGTACATGCCCTTGACCGGAATTGAACCTGGGACTCTTCAGTCCACAGGCCGACGCTTTATACACTGAGCCAAACCAGTCGGGGCTGTATTTCTTTTTTTTTTTTAATTTTTTTTCTTTTCTTTTTTTTGTTTTTTTTTGTTGTTTTTAAGAAAGCTCTTGGATTTTTTATATATATACTCATGGCCTGGTGCACAGATTCGTGCACTGGTGGGGTCCCTTGGCCTGGCCTGCACCCTCTTGCAATCTGGGACCCCTCAGGGGATGTTGGACTGCCGGTTTCAGCCCGATCCCCGCAGGCCATGCTGAGGGACCCCACCGGTGCAAGAATCTGTGCACTGGGCCAGTTTTGGCAGGCCACGAGTCCATGCCACCAAGCCTCTAGTATGCATGTAAGATCTTTGGTTAATCTCTTCCTGCCCTCTCCCTCCCCCATTCCCTCTGAGATTCATCATTCTGTTCCATGTTTCCATGCCTGTGGGTTGAGCATCTGTCACCTGGTGGTCAGTGCGCATCATAGTTACCAGTCGAATGGTTGCTTAGGCTTTTATATATAGAGATATTTTTATTGATTTCAGAGAGGAAGGGAGAGAGCTAGAGAGATAGAAACATCAATGATGAGAGAGAATCATTGATTGGCTG